CCCCCCCCCCCCCCAAGCACGAAAAGCTTCTACGGTTAGCCTATGATGTATGGCCATGGGTTCCATGATTTGGAATCATCGTGAGGGGAGGGCTGGGGGCTATGTAGAGACGAGATTGAATTTCTCAATTCCATAGGGATCCAACTAAATCAAAAAAGCAAAGACTAGGACTGCACTAGTCACCTAATCTCAACCAAAGGCAATAAAAAGGGATCAACCATGTACTTCAATTCAATATTATTGATCAAGAGCAGTTTTACAGCACTTATAAGTTAAAACAGAAATGAACATCCTACGAGATTGCAACCTAGGAATAATGTTACAGAAGAATCTTGAGTTTTCACTAACTTTACATCACATATTTCCTTATCGTGGCAGGGAAACCTTCACAAGGAGGCGAGAAATTATAGATGTCGTCCATGGCTCCTGTGTATGATATGATACTGTACGATAACTCATGATTCCAAATTCCAATGAACAAATATAGCCCTTGTAAAGAGATAACCATTCTGATGTCTCCAACAATAATAAGAGCTTCCTTTTGTGTCTAAATTTATTCTACTTCGTCCATTCAGAAGCAGGGATTCCATGATTTTGAAACCATTCAGGCATGTGGAATCTTTCATAGAGTATAGGCCTAACGTCCTTCTGGCCAGAAAGGTGCTTGAGAAGCGGAAGAATGACCCCCAGAAGCTGATAAAAATTATAAAGACAAATCAGAGTTGGGGTGAGTAAATATTGAGATAATTTTGACGAAGAGCCCTAAATTTCTATGACATGTTGGCACCTGCTCATCATGTGGTTGTCCAGCAGAAAACGGAATGCATGGGATTCCATTTACTGGTTGTAATAAGAAACTGAACGGGTTGTTATCAACAATAACAATTCGACCTAAATCTTTGGATAGGCTCGACAGATCCTTCACATGTTCCCGATATTCCCTGCAATTTATACAATAGGTTTTACAATACAAGCAGAAACTATAAAAAAAAAAAAAAAAACTCACATGAATAAGACAAAAATTGTGAGCTGGACAAGGGATTGAAATACATAAGAGCTTTCAATAGTTCAAAGCATTAGTTTTAGTAAATCATAGAAGACTGTTGATCAAATTAAAGCCACAAGTTAGTTTTCTGTCCGGTTGGAAAATCCCTGCACCCTTCATCATTAGGAGCCCCCGCTTGGTAGTGGCCTCAGAGAAACCATTGATCATTTTAGTTGCAAATAAAATCGGTTCATCAGCATAAACTCTACAAGATTCTCCCACACGGCATTTTCAAAACATTTGTATCACATCTTCATTGATTAGAAGTAGAGAATTTGTACTTGAAAACAAGGCTTTGACATTCTCCCATTTCCATGCAACACACATCTCAATTTAAGAGAACCTGTATCCCAACAATTTAGGGTCAGATATATGAATCCTGTTTTAACCCGACTGTGTATTGTTAAGGTTGATTTTTTCTACACTAAGCCAGAGAGGAGAGGGTTGCATAAGGTAGTTGATAACCAGCATAAAACTTATAGCTAAAATGTCAACATAATGGAGAACTCATCTAAATGAGTTCGTAGTTTAAGTCCAGGATTAGTATTAGCATTTGCCTTATCTTCATATCAGTTATCATTTTCTGCGAAGTCAGGGAGTGCCTAGTTTGCAAGCGGCTATGCGTCAACTGAGGCATAAATTTAGATATTTACAAGAGACAGATATTAACCTCAAGCATATTTACCTTGGAGGGATATAAAGAACACCAGCATGAAACTGAAATTCCCTATCTAAATTTGGGGTGTCACTTGTGTTTTTTTCCCCTTTTTTGGGGGGTGCTGGGGATGAAACTTACATTGTGACTATCAGAGGTGTTCTTCACAGTTCCAGTGATATGCGTCACTTGATGGGGGCAATATGGCAATTGCAATAAATATTCATCAAATTTTGGCTTTAGGCACTACAACAAGTAGCTTTATCAATTACTACGCACACAATTCTAAACATAGAAGCAAAATGCAGAAAGTTGCAAATCTTGAACCAAGAATCCTGTGCTTATTTCATAAAGTTTTTTTCCCAAACAAGATAATCTTCTTAACTATATGTATCCACCAGCTGCAAGTGGTAATTTGCATCATCAGGTTCATTTCATTTTATCTTGAAATTTCACAACTCTATCAGATAACTAAGTCCATCTCAAACTAACAAAAAATACAGAGAATAGAGGTTAGTAATTTCTTTTCCCAACACAGTTGTGCATACTTAGAGGAAGGCCCACCATTTTTTCGATAAGAGAGGAACGCCTACCATTGATTAATAAAATTTAATTTATCTACATGAGAGCAGGTTATTAGTCATATCCATTAACTAGAGGCTCCATTTATTCTGGTGGTTTGATCAATGCTTTCGAGAAAAAAAATTCCAGATAGAAGTACAATGGATTAAATTCTTATTCCAATTCCAATAGAAGTGTGCGGCCTATTCTCATTTTTTTTTTACCACAAAAAAACTTCCAAATTGGTAGAAGGATTAGATAGAGATTCTTTGCCCAAAAAACTTTTCTAGGGAACATTTTTACTAAAAACGTAGTTACCCAGTTTAGTCCACGCTAATTGAGGTGCTGGACATGGTGGACTAGGTGCATATTTAACCTTTGATATTGTTGATACAAAGTGACTCTCTTCAGATTAGAACCCACAACCTCATGGTTGAAATTATAAGGCATAGATAAAAATAATCCTACTGTTGCACGAGCAGATCTTATGCAAAAGTAGCATGTTTCAAAACCATCCCAGGGCACCTCATAGTTGACACTCAACAAAGGCAAGATATCCACCATTAGTTCACCACCCAATGTAGGAGCCACCCATGCCCAGGGTTTGATCTGGTTACAAATGCAACCGGCAGTTTCTTCCCTGATTACCCTTTGACACAAGCATGCATTCTCATGTTTAAAAGCCCAAATTTCCATTATTGCATTAAGAAATGCCGTCACAAAAGCTATATAGTGCTGTCCTAAATTTTGGCCAATGCTCCACCCAAAAACAGAGAATAAGTTTGTATTTGACACTAACATTGTGTATATTCATTGTTTCACGTCAATATTATGTGTAATTCATTGTCTGACAGGACAATCTGAAAGACATTAGGAAGGGGAAGGGGGAGAGAATGAAAAAAATACAGACTAATGTAGACCTCAAACATGGATAAAATGGCTCAAAAAATCAGTGCAAGTTATTTTATTACTATAGGCATCAGACAGGGGAAAAGATGATAAAAAAGCCCTTGAATTGACGAGCAGGAACACTTACGTGCTTTTTGTTGAAGGCCGATAAAGTCTATGACTGAATCGGTTATCAACATCTATTCTGTCAACAAGAGGTCTAGCATAGCCTGCACATATGTAATGACAGCAAGTAAAGAGATTGCAGCAGATACATAAATTTAAGATAGTGGTCAAGTAATTAGCAAACCTTCAAGACCAGCAGTAAATAACACAAGATCAGCGAATGTACTTAGTTGTTTTAAAAATTCCGGCAATCCAGGACGTTCAAACACTGTAACATAGTTCACCTTAGGTTTGCCTTCACATTCCTTCAAACCCAACATTCAAACATTAAGATAGACCCATTCTGAAAATCTTCCAAATGATGAAAATATTGTCAATTTACAAATATGTAGACACCTTGTGAGAAGATATGCATTCCAGCTCAAACCACTTCAAGCCTGCTTCTACGGCTTGAGTACGAACAATGGCAGGTAAACTAGATGTCTCATATGCACATACTAGAGTTTCATCCAAGTCAAGAACCACCTGCATCCAGATTTGAATGAGTCAGGCTCAGAATTCAGAATTAATTTGGCAATCAAGCTGTTCTCAAACAACCAATAAAAACTTCAAAGACATACTAACAACGGAGTGTGTGTGTGTGTGTGTGAGAGAGAGAGAGAGAGAGAGAGAGAGAGAGACTCAATAACACCAGTACAACTTTTCTGCACTTCTCTCTAATTCAAATCACAACAGATTATGTGAATCAATGCAGATTGACTTTTCTGGACTTGTGTAATTGTAAAATGATTGACTGTCCAATAAACATCTAAACCTTCCTCTTTCAATTTCCCTTAATTTCTTGTGTCCTTGAACCCTTAGAAATTTGGCCCATTGGCTGATTAAGTTGAACTGTGTCTGTCCTTGCTTGACTAGTCACAGATTTGCTTAATCTTTTCTAAACTGTGTACATACTTCCTTATAACTTCATGTCGCACAGAGGAATGGAGCCACAAGATGACTTGAACCAACTATCATCCACAGTTCTATTCAACTTCTTTTTGCAGTAAAAACGTTGTTATAAACTTCTTTTTCTCTTTTTGGCTCCTGAAAAACTAAAACATGCTCAGTATGCAACTACTTGTATATTCTGACGATCACAACCATTGAAATTATTTGAATGTGAAACCATTTCAATAAGCTCCTAAATATTCTTCATTTGAATCAGTTTGAGTTAATTTGATTGGAAAATACAAGTCACAAAACTCTATCGAAGTACCCATCTACTTTTTCCTCTGAATTATAATCAAATGTTGGGAGCATACTCTTCAATACCAATCCCTCCCAGCATGAATCACAGAAGGTATGAAAGTTATCCCTTGGTTTATGGCTAATTCGAAACTATAGTATACACCTATATAGATATTATATTATGTATATATACAAGCAATAATCGGTGCCTGTAGACACTATGTAATACCAAAGTTGTTTTTGACTATGCAAGTGAAAATTAAAAATGAAGAGAGAGGTAGGTGTGATTGATTGGATTGTTTACAGTGGGGAGTGTGTTAATGTGTTGACATTGGAAGCCGTGGAGAGAAATAAATACTTTTGGGCGGAAAAAAAAATTTGGGATAAATTTTGTATAATTAGATCCAAAATAGATGAACATTGAACGAATCTTGACCATTATTGTATTTTTATAAGTTGAAAATTTAATTTTCTGGCAATAATATTAGATAGATATATTTATATACAGAACGTATACACACACATGAATTCATACACATATCTTTTTCAAACTTTTTGAAATTCTTAGCACAGAATGAAGGAAAAAGATCAGCATCCCAATATAGACAGTATATCCAAAAACACAAGCAAAAACATAATTGAAGGGAACAAAAGACAAATAAAACTGTTGCATACGAGCTAAAGAACAATTTCTGCACTGGTTTCTTTTACCTTTTAGTTCGCTTAATTTCAGAATAATCAAATTGTCTACTTTTACTCATAATTGAAAGAATTCAAATTCAAACCAGAAAATTCTCAATTTCAAATTAATTCATTCAGTACATAACTATTAGAGACAGAGAAAGAAAGAGCTCCACTGGAAGCATACCGTAAGTTTCTCGCACCTCCGATCATTTAAACCACCGGCAAATCCATCACCAGAAATTCGCACCGCCTCCGTTGGCTGAGCCTCCGGTTCATGCAATTCAACGACCGGCAACGGCTTGAAGGAAGGCGAAGAAGAATCAGAAAGCAAAGAATTGTGTCGAAGGCCAACAAAAGAGAAGACTTGAGTCAGCGAAGGCGTGCCTCTGATGATCTGAACGAAGATCTGAAAGAAAAATGCCAACCAGTTCAACACTGTCCTCCATACTTGTATCGTTCTCGGCGCATACACTTCCGGTTGGGCAAGCTCGGCCATGGTCTGGTCTGGACTAGATTGCGCCCACGGTGCTCACGTTATTAACTTAACACCACCAAAAAGAAGAAGAAGAAGAAGAAGATGTGTTGTACAACAGACTGAAAACTCAAATCAGAAGCTCTCAAACTGAGTCTTTCTCTTTCAATCAATGAAACTTTTTTTTTTTTCGGTTATGAGTCTTTGATTGGCCTTTTGCGTGTGGTTCAATGGTGGTGGAGCTGTGGTCAAGGTGGTGCCTCGGCGAAGTCTAGAGAGAGAAAGTGAAGGGCGGAGAGAGAGAGGAAGGGAGGAGAGAGTTTGTGTCACGAGTGTGGAACGACGAGTGGGGGACTTTTTTGTATAAGAGATATAGAGTGAAGGTTTTGTCCACGTCATAGGAGAGCGCGAGAAGATAGGGTGCTTTTTTCATTGCTTTATCGTATTTTTCTTTGTTCATACATCGATTGCGGTACTAAATAGGGTAATACATAGTATCGTTCGAATTTTAATACGTATCTTTAAAAATTAAAAATTTTAATTTATACTTTTAAAAATATAAATTTGTATTAATGTGCACCCTAAAAATAAAAAATCTTAATTTACACCCTAAAAGATAAAAATTTGTATAAATGTGTATCTAAAATTAAATTGATGAATTATATCTAGATCACCTCATACTTGTCACTTAATCATTTAGATCCTTTTATATTTAGAATATTACTCAAATATCTCATGATGTTTGTACACGTATAACACATAATCCCTTTTTGTTGATATCTGTTAATATAGTCGTTAAAAAATATGATTTTATTCTAATAAAAAATTATAATTCATATTACCTTTTATTTTGTGGGTCTGATATCTTCTAAAATTTAAAATCAAATTTATCATTTGAATGTCTAGAATGTAGATATTTATATAATATTTTTTATATCTAATGCAATATATCACTCAATGTGCAACCCTTTATTCTATTAGACATTCAAATAGTAAGATAGATTTTGAACTTTAAAGTATAGAGTACATGTTACACGTGCACAAACGTCATGAGATATATGAATAATATTTTAAATGTGAAGGGGTCCAAATGATTAAATGACAAACATGAGGGGATCTAGGTATAATTTATCAATTTAGTTTTAGGCAACAAACTGACAACGATTAGTTTTAAGTGTATATTGATACAAACTTCTATCTTTAAGGGTGTAAATTAAAATTTTTGATATTTTGGAGTGTACATTGATACAAATTTCTATCTTTAAGGGTGTAAATTAAGATTTTTGATCTTTGAGTATGTAAATTGAGATTCGAACGATCTTTTAAGGTATAATTTATAATTAACCCTAATTAGAATTTCACATAATGACAATGACCAATAAAATCAAGGGTGAATTACACCTAGACTCCTGAGATTTATCACTTAATCACTCAGATCCCCTGACATTTAAAATATTACACACAGACTCTCTGAGGTTTATGCGCGTGTAACACTTAGACCTATGCTATAAATATATCTGTTAATAAATTATACTTTGACCCCATAAAATTTATAAGTATATAAAATTTACAATCCTTAAGTTTAAAATATTATACTTAGACAAAAAAAAATACTTCAATCAAATATTAAATATTTTAAATTTTACAATCAAAATTTACGTTTTATTGTATCAATTATTGAAATAAAATTAAAAATAAAAATTAATTTTTTCTTAAAAAATCTTAATTAGTATACAATTATATTATCTATTAGAATAAAACTAAAAAAATCAAATAAGGGGCTAAGTGATTCATAATAGAACATGAATTTTACATTCAAAATTAATGTTCTATTATGTTATTTATTGAAATAAAATCAAAAATAAAAGTTTAGTTTTTTTTTTATAAAAAAATCACAATTAGTGTATAAGTATACAATCTATTAGAATAAAATTAAAAAATTGAATAAGGGATCAAACTGTAATAGACACAATATTTTTTAGCTTTAATTAGAATAGTTTGGTATTTTAATTTGATCGTTTTAATTGGCAAATTAAATTCCATTAGACAATATAACTGTATACTAATTACGATTTTTTAAGAAAAAATTAAATTTTTATTTTTGATTTTATTTCAATAAATGATACAATAGAACATAAATTTTGATTGTAATATTTAAAATATTTGATATTTTATCTTTGATTGAAGCATTTTTTGTATAAGTATAATATTTTAAATTTAAAAGGTCTAAGTATTATATACCTATAAACTTTAGGGGATCTAAGTGTTACGCACGTACAAAGTTTATGGGTTTTGTGTGTAATATTTCAAATGTCAGGGGTATTAAGTGACAAATCTCATGTAGTTTAAGTATAATTCTCCCTAAAATCAACGAACCAATGGTCATAGACATCGGCTCTTCCGAGTTTCAATTTTGACAAAAAATATGTTATTTGGATTTTATTTAGGAATTTTATTTAAGGGATTAACGATGTACAATCATTAGATTAATTGTGGACTCCATCTAATATTAGAACTCACAATTAATTCAATGATTGTATTGAAGTCACATCATTAAGTTCTCAAATAAAGCCCTTATAATATTACTCTTTTGATAAATTTTTAAGATCAAATTATGAGTGATTTATATTTTATTAATATTTTAGTTTAGACATAAATAATTTACTTTTGATTAAATTAAAAAAGAGATTAATTAATACACATAAATTAATTTGAATATCTTTGACTTTTGAACTAAAAGAAAAAATTAATCAATTAACTCAACTTGGGTAGTCCAACTTTGGGATTGGATTTGGACCCAGACATGAAATGTTCAACCATTATTGGTGTCTGCTGATTTAACTGATATTTGTACTTTGTTAGTAATTATAGATATTCCAAGTTTACTTTAGTAAAGATGAATCTAAAATGACTCTCTTTTGAAGAGATTTCGCGTTAACCAAAAGAAAAATATTAAATGAACTTAATTTTACTTTGTCTATTAAACTATTAATTTTTTTATATTATCCTATGAAGTACTAAAATTAATATCCCGTTGTCCTAAATAATGTATTGGGAGCAAAACAAAATAAAATTCATAGTTTAAGAGACAAAATAAAATAGTTTTTTTATAAAATTTATAATAAATGTCAATTATTGAGACAATGTAAAACTAATAACATCTTTATACATACAATGTCAAAAATATGATAGTCTAAAAGACATTACAATAACAAGGACAAGTTATAAATTCAAACGTTTTAAATTTGAATCTTAGCAATCTCATAGGACCAGAACATGAGGAATTTTTTCCTCATGAATATCCTAATCTTAATGTAGATAATTTTTCTTTGATTAGATCGAAAAAGAAATTAGTCGAAATACGCATAAACTGATTGAAACACTCTTAATCATTAAATTAAAAAAAAAACAATGAAAATTGAGAGTGTCATAATATAATTTATCTTATTTCATATCAATATTGTTTCATTTTTGTTATTATATTAGTTTTGATTATGTGGGCATCACATCACCCTTGCAACGATCATAACTAATGTATTAAACTATTCCTTCTTTACTATATATGTTATGACATCGACAAAACCCACTAAATACTAGTATAATGTAATGAGGATCAAACCTTCCATTACGTGTTGATGCCATGGTTATTTTGAAATGTTTAAGGTATTAGTGTTTTTTTTTTTTTTTAGTATTCTGGTTTATAAGGTTCTTTGAGTGGCTTCGATCAAACCCTTAACTAGAGTTCTTCACGTCTGCATTTGGATCCGTCACATCAGAAAAGGAAAAAAAACAAAAACTACGAATTTATCTATTTTTAACCAGACGCATGGAATGCGAAGAGAACCAAATCCACGACGCGCCTCCCGGGTGCTGCTTTGAATAGTCCGTGGTATAGCCGATAAAAGTCACAAAGAGGAAAAAGTGTGGTCGCAATTGAATCCGCCAATGAGTATGCGACAAAGTTTCCTTCTTTGGAGGCTTTTGTACTTTTAAATCCGTCCCCTATTATGCTATACATCCTGCAGAGAGAGAAGCACAGATTGGCGATCATGTTCCACGTCACGCTTTTTTTTTTTTTGTTTGAATTATATTTTATGATAAATTATAACTCAAATAGTCATANGCTTTTGTACTTTTAAATCCGTCCCCTATTATGCTATACATCCTGCAGAGAGAGAAGCACAGATTGGCGATCATGTTCCACGTCACGCTTTTTTTTTTTTTGTTTGAATTATATTTTATGATAAATTATAACTCAAAGAGTCATATATATATAACTTCTAGAGATTCAATTATATATTTAAAAAATAAAATTATTTATAATCAATCACATTAATAATCATTTATAATTGGCTATGAATAATTGTAATTTGTCTTTTATAATTTATAGCTTAACATTTAATAGTAGTATTTTCCAATACCAAAATTAGAGGGTTTAGTTTTCTTTTTTTTATTTTTGGTGTGCACATTTATGAGTATGAAAATTAGAGGTGGTTGCAGTTTTTTATTTTTAGTTAATGATCAGGGATATTTGGACTAGTTTACACGTATCTCGACTAATCTCCTCTATAGTCTGATCAAAAGATAAANAGTTAATGATCAGGGATATTTGGACTAGTTTACACGTATCTCGACTAATCTCCTCTCTAATCTGATCAAAAGATAAATTATTAACACCGAGACTAACACATAAGAATAAATTCTTTATGGTCTCAAGAGATGGCAGAGGTGGTTATAATTTGTTAAGGTCGGTATAATAACATCTCAAGTTTCCATTTTGGTGCTCGATGTTTTGTTTGAGATTAGTTTGAAAATTAGTGTGAAGTCACAATAGAGACAAAACTATTTATCACTTAACTCTTTCAAATGACATTATAAAAGGAAACCTTCGACTTTAGATACCACTTGTGCTTTATTAAAAATTTTCCCATAATTAGAGACTTGTGTCTAAAATTTGCTTGATAATCGAATTGCTTATAAAAACAATTCAACCTTTCAATTAAGGGTGTCAAAATATAACATAACACGAACGCAACATGGAATTAGAGAGTTTGAGTTTTCTTTAAGTCACCTGTTTCGTAAACAAGTAGATCTGACACGACACGATTAATAAACGAGTCGAGTATGAGTGAAATCAATCAAAAGAACGACTTATATATATGTTGGTTATACATGATTCATGCACGACACATACCATATATGACACGACACATTAGACACGAATTAATAAACGAATTGGATATAAGTAAAGTGCTTTTTGACATGAATTTGCTAAAATTTGACACAAACTCACCTTACTCGACACGATTGAGAAGCGCAATCTCAACCACACATGAACAAACAACTTTGCATGAAAGCTAAAGCAACAAAAAGTCTTCAGAGGCATCATTTTCAGACCCAAGCTCAGCAGTATCTTTCACAATTACAACTGCTATGAGGAAATACAAAAGTGGGTGAAGGTTAGGTTGGTGCTGGACCTCTAATACCCAAGAAGAAGGACCTCAAAACTATTCAAGGCTAATTGATCTTGCTTATCTCCTACTCCCTCATGTTTTATTTGAAGGACTCATCGATTATGCTCCGGATTTGAGTTAATCATACGTGTCATCTTCATTTTGGGTAATAGTCAATTTGTCGTTGGTAATAAGGTAGCCCTGCTCCTTTGACCCCTTAACTAACATTATAATTGGAAAAAAAATGAGCTTTACCGAGTAATATTTCATATACAAAGCTTGTTTATGACTACCTGCAACTCTACAATACTCAGACTGACCACATCACTAGAACAGATTGCATAGCCAAACCTATATGTAAGGGTCTCCATCTCATGCATTCAAGAACAAAATCCCAGGCAAGAGAGCCACCCGCATAGCTGGTATCGTTCCAGCCTGCCACTCAAAAGGCACAAGGTCTTTGAAGTTTTATTAGCTTCAGTATGTTGCAGCATACTAACTGAATAGAGTTACAAAAGTGAAATGAAATTGATTATAGGTTTCATAGTAAGTGTAGAAGTTTACAAGAGCAACAGTGGCTAGAAACATTCATTTTTATTAATTACAATCATACAGTACATTTGTATGCAGCCTATGACATTATGAGAAATTGAGTATGAGTTTAAATGTTTTTTTTTTTGCTATCCTATACATATGAGCAAGCAATTGTAGCAAATACAACCAAAACAAACGAAAAAATCACTATCTTCCCCCACAAACACCCTCCCCACCGCCCCATGAATGATATATCCCAAACAACCCGAAGAGATGCAGAATAAATCTATAAAGAAAACACCTCAAAAATGAAAAAAATTGTTAATTGAAAAAAATATACCACATAAGCAAGTATAGTAGAATATGTACTAACCCGAAGTGGCATCAACAACATACACTGGATTTGTGCTGGGCTTGAGCTGACTGAAAGGTAGCGCTGCTTCAAACTGATGTGATATACTCATTAAGAACACCCGTTCCTCTACAAACTTAGCAAGAACTGAACTCAAATGACGCGAAAATCCAGCTGCTTCAAATCCGATTAGAGGAACTCATTAGCACATCCAACACTCTATAAACTCAGTAAGAATTCAGCTCATATGAATGGGAAAGCCAAGGATGCTCTAGCGCTTCTCTTGCAGTAGGGCGCCTCTGAGGATTAATTTCAAGCAATTCCTTTACGAAACTGATAAACCCAATATCTGAAACCTGCAGGTGGTGCTCCAATGATGATTCCTCAGGGATAATGTACTCAAGCTGATTTGTCTCCTGTATGCAGAATTTGCAAAGATGAAGCAAAACGAGTACAACCATACATCTAAAATGAATGAACCATCAGCATTTGTTTAGGTAGTCTGGTTTGATGATGATAGATGGCTAGTCATTCCCTGAATCAGCTACTTTTTGAGTAAATCAAGAGTATGCATAAAAGAAAACAGATTTGATATCAACAGTAAGCGAATGGAAGGAGTATGCCTAGGCCCTCAAGCATTCTGAATGGAAAATGTATCCGGCACTATTCTAGCACATTAGATTGACTAAATTTCTTTGAATGGTTAGTTTTTTACACAACTGGTACAAAAATGAAACCAGAAGAACTTTCCTTTCTGGGGTGAAAAAAATAAGGAAATTCACTGGTTGAATAGAAGAAAATACCACATAGATTTTTCTTACAACATGGGTATTTCACATTTCATCTCAAACGAAAAGCGAGAAGAGTCTAAATGATTCAAGTCCACAGTCACAAGTTTCTTCATGGTGCATTCCTATAAATATTTCGACAAAACTTAACATTGTAAATTATAACACACTTCATATGCAGTTGTTAAAATTTTACATTTTGCCAGGCCGCAAGAAACAAACCTCATTTATAAGATAAAGATCATAGTCTTTAGTGAAATACTTGTAGGTCTCTTGCCCCCTCATCAACATATCCTCATCAATAGGACCAAGCATCCCAATCATGCGTGCAAGCAGCATCACAATTGCTTCATTTGGTAAAAGCACCTGGTCGAAACACAGATGCTGAGAAGGCAATACATATTGAATTGTTCCGAGAACTATTCAGCAAACTGGAATCTCCCAGAACAAAACATCAAAAATTAAGGTCACAAATAGATGCAAAATCATGTTTATAAAGTAAAGCAACAAATGGTAAAACAACAGCCGATAATCTAACGATGTTAATTCAAATAGGTGAAAGCCCAACAAAGACATACTTCCCCAGAACATAGCTCAGCCAAAATACAGCCAAGAGACCAAAGGTCGATCTTCTGGTCATATGGGAGGCCTAGGATGACTTCAGGAGCCCTGTAGGAACGAGACTGAACGTATAGGCACAAGTTGTCTGTCTGGAAGCAACTGCTTCCAAGATCAATAACCTTTATGTCGCACCTCCGATAACTTTTAATAAGAATATTCTCAGGCTTTAGGTCACAGTGCATGATTCCCAATTCATGCAAGTACTCCAATGCCTCCAAACATTGCCGGGTTATGACCTGTGTAATGCACAAACACCCACATTAAAGTTCCATGTTAGCTGTTTTATTTCTAATATAGTGTTTTGCCAGCATATATCTCAGAAGCGTGATGAAACTAGCCTAATTGAGCAAACCTGCAGCCTGCTCACTGTAAAATAAGGCTCTCCACCAGATTCTCGATTATATTTCTGGAATTCATACAGATTTGCTCGGAGGAGTTCACAAACAATAATTAGATGCTCCTGTCAGAATTTCAACAGACACACANACTGTAAAATAAGGCTCTCCACCAGATTCTCGATTATATTTCTGGAATTCATACAGGTTTGCTCGGAGGAGTTCACAAACAATAATTAGATGCTCCTGTCAGAATTTCAACAGACACAAACACATGAAAAAGAACATGAGCAGTAGATAAAAACAAATAAATAAAAACTACAGAATAAATATAACCTTTTGATTAAGGATATGACCATTTTAAAAGAAAACATATCTAACTGGAAAGTGATAACCACCATTTCAGAAGTTTCAGGTCCTCATACTATGAAGGAGCAGCATTACATTGCTTTAAATTCAAATTTGAGCAAGAAATGTTTAGCTCATCTCTTGATTACGACAAACAAAGAATTCCCTTTTGGTGACGTGATATTAATTGAAGAGAGATAAGCAAGTTGTGTGCATTACTCCTGATATTAATTTTTGTACTTTTTCTCAGATGCAACTATGACATTTAAGGAAAAATGAGAAATAAAAGAAAAATAGAAGGGAAAATATTGGTTATTCGACAATGATCGCCGAGTTTCAAAGGCAATATGACTCCGTAAGATTACTGTGTTACTCTTTCTTACACATACCTGGAAGTAAAAGTAATCATAAAGACGTAAAATGTGGCGGTCATCACCAGGATCATGCTTGTTTACAAACTTCAGAAGCTTGATCTCATCCAGACTTTGATCAAAAAAATCCTTATCATTTTTTATGATCTTCAAGCAAACGTCCATTCCCGTGCAAAGATCATGCGCTTGAACAACTTTGCTGAATGCGGCCGAACCTAGGTATTCTGTTACATAATATCTGCCAGCAATGATACTATTTATGACAATAGGCAGATCCTTGTTCTCTTCGAATCCAGTCCTGTAGATGGCATAATAAATTAGTACAACTGCAGTTGAAGCAAATAAATCACTCAATTTTGTTATAGGGGATGAGCATGATCAATCCAAGTCAGAACCACACTATTTGAGTATTCGTACTCACAACATGGCAACCACTTGCTTAAGCTAGACCAACTCCTTCAGACGTGACACTCACCTGCTTGGCATCCAATACAAACATAGGAATGCAACAAAAAGATTCAGTTGGAATAGGCAACAAACCTGTTTTTCCTGTGTATGATTCTCAAGTTAAATACTTCATATTCATCCTCGTTACTATACATTTGAAGCTCATCGGAAGCAACACCACCCTCGTCACCTGAAACAGCATCAGGCGCATGGGGTTCTCCAACCACTTCTTGAGCATCTGCATAGTCATTGTTGTCATATTCATTTGAGAGCAAATCTTTGTTGGCTACCCGAGAATGAAAGTCAGCATTACTCTTAAAATCTCCGAAGACATCGTAAATGGAATCCCTTTTCGTAGGGTGATCACAACATTTATTATTATTATACTCCAGGGCAGAATCGCATTCAGAATTTACCCCCTTGGCGCTTTTCTGAAAACCATCTATCTCAGGTACTTTAAGAACTCCAAGATTGTAATCCGCAGGATCCCTGCCATGATTCTCTCGTCCTTCAGCACAGCATACACAAAGGGGGGATAAGCAGCTATAAACTGCAAGAACCTCTTTGTCCTTTTCAATGCCTCGTTCAAGTAGGAGATTTTTGGCATCCAAATTAAAATAATCGGTAACTCCAACCACTTTTTCTATATCATTTGTTGAGGTAACATCAAAAGGCCATGGCTTATCCAAATAATTAGTTATCTCCACTGATTGAAAATCTGCACATATAGGATTCAAACCGGATTGGTCCTCCCTTTGCTTCTCTGTCTCTTGAGTCATGACAAACTTGTCCTCACTTGGACCACCAAAGCAGTCCGACCCACCAAAATAATGGGGCATAGCATAGTCTTCATCTTTCTCCTTGTACCAATACAGGTCATTTTGCATGTCAAAATCATGGTAATCACGTGCTGTGCCAAATTGAGACAACCTATCTGATGAAGCTTGTGAATTAGCTCCTGTCGCCGTGCCAACTCCATAAGGATTGGTAAATTCTACACAAACCAAAAGAGGAGATTGTACTCGGCCCAATTACCAACTAAAACTTATCTTTTGGACAGCNGGGTGGGTGCGGCTTGGGACGATGGGTTTGGAGAAAATAGTTTAAAAGACTCTCAAATCTCATGTTTTGATTGAAAATTCAATATCGAATTTCCAAACTCGGCCTATTGCTGGCTCAAAGATTAAACTCATGATCATGGGTTAGACGAAACCTACGAAGGGAGATGGATTTGAGAAGATGAGTTAAGGGGTTAAGAATATAAAAGACAATTGTATTCTTTAACATAAGTATGAATTGAATTGTTTAAGATTAAAATAGTCATTTACAGGACAAATAATTGTTAATAATTATGATATATCCGTGNAGAAAAAAAATAAAAATTTATAAAATCATGTAGTTGGCAAAATGAGATTTTTTTTTAATTCAACAGTCAGGAGTGTTCGAGTCAGGTTACATACACCTCGACTAATTTTTTCACCTGTCTGGTCAAAGGAAGGTTATCCACGTCGAGACTAGATTATTTATGAAGGATAAATATCTTCTAGCTCGACTTTAAAAAATTGTCAAAATTTAAAATCAAAATATTTAAATTTACAATTCGTNGATATATCCGTGTGTCCTACATGTGTATATGTTATATACCAAACATGAGTATGAACCAAATTAAATGTTGAATCTCATCTCTTATAAAGAGGAATTTAAGTTTGAAAGAGTTTGAAAAAATTAATCAAAACTCTTCTCCAAAATTCATCTAAACAAGCCTTTAAACTAAGAATCTTGACGTTGTGTTATCGAATTTTTCTCACCTGAACTATTTGACGGATGAATAAGCTACAGTACCCACATTTTTTTTTTGTTGGGTTCACGTCAAATGTAATGTTTAATATCAAAATATGGGAAAGGGTACGGTTTCATCGGTGATATCTTATCAAAAATTATAATTTTTTAAAATTAAGTTATAATTTTTTTGAAATATAAGTTACAATTTTAAAAAATATGATCAATTATAAAAAGTTGAAATCGATATCAAAATTTCATGATTACTCATGGATGTTAATCACCGATCATAACTTTTTTTTCAACAATTATAATTTTATTATAAAAAATAATAAACCACGACACGGTACCCTTTTTTTTGTTTTCCCGATGCCTTAGACTTTTTCCCAAAATATTACCAGAATTCCAAATCATTTAGNCACACATGAAAAAGAACATGAGCAGTAGATAAAAACAAATAAATAAAAACTACAGAATAAATATAACCTTTTGATTAAGGATATGACCATTTTAAAAGAAAACATATCTAACTGGAAAGTGATAACCACCATTTCAGAAGTTTCAGGTCCTCATACTATGAAGGAGCAGCATTACATTGCTTTAAATTCAAATTTGAGCAAGAAATGTTTAGCTCATCTCTTGATTACGACAAACAAAGAATTCCCTTTTGGTGACGTGATATTAATTGAAGAGAGATAAGCAAGTTGTGTGCATTACTCCTGATATTAATTTTTGTACTTTTTCTCAGATGCAACTATGACATTTAAGGAAAAATGAGAAATAAAAGAAAAATAGAAGGGAAAATATTGGTTATTCGACAATGATTGCCGAGTTTCAAAGGCAATATGACTCCGTAAGATTACTGTGTTACTCTTTCTTACACATACCTGGAAGTAAAAGTAATCATAAAGACGTAAAATGTGGCGGTCATCACCAGGATCATGCTTGTTTACAAACTTCAGAAGCTTGATCTCATCCAGACTTTGATCAAAAAAATCCTTATCATTTTTTATGATCTTCAAGCAAACGTCCATTCCCGTGCAAAGATCATGCGCTTGAACAACTTTGCTGAATGCGGCCGAACCTAGGTATTCTGTTACATAATATCTGCCAGCAATGATACTATTTATGACAATAGGCAGATCCTTGTTCTCTTCGAATCCAGTCCTGTAGATGGCATAATAAATTAGTACAACTGCAGTTGAAGCAAATAAATCACTCAATTTTGTTATAGGGGATGAGCATGATCAATCCAAGTCAGAACCACACTATTTGAGTATTCGTACTCACAACATGGCAACCACTTGCTTAAGCTAGACCAACTCCTTCAGACGTGACACTCACCTGCTTGGCATCCAATACAAACATAGGAATGCAACAAAAAGATTCAGTTGGAATAGGCAACAAACCTGTTTTTCCTGTGTATGATTCTCAAGTTAAATACTTCATATTCATCCTCGTTACTATACATTTGAAGCTCATCGGAAGCAACACCACCCTCGTCACCTGAAACAGCATCAGGCGCATGGGGTTCTCCAACCACTTCTTGAGCATCTGCATAGTCATTGTTGTCATATTCATTTGAGAGCAAATCTTTGTTGGCTACCCGAGAATGAAAGTCAGCATTACTCTTAAAATCTCCGAAGACATCGTAAATGGAATCCCTTTTCGTAGGGTGATCACAACATTTATTATTATTATACTCCAGGGCAGAATCGCATTCAGAATTTACCCCCTTGGCGCTTTTCTGAAAACCATCTATCTCAGGTACTTTAAGAACTCCAAGATTGTAATCCGCAGGATCCCTGCCATGATTCTCTCGTCCTTCAGCACAGCATACACAAAGGGGGGATAAGCAGCTATAAACTGCAAGAACCTCTTTGTCCTTTTCAATGCCTCGTTCAAGTAGGAGATTTTTGGCATCCAAATTAAAATAATCGGTAACTCCAACCACTTTTTCTATATCATTTGTTGAGGTAACATCAAAAGGCCATGGCTTATCCAAATAATTAGTTATCTCCACTGATTGAAAATCTGCACATATAGGATTCAAACCGGATTGGTCCTCCCTTTGCTTCTCTGTCTCTTGAGTCATGACAAACTTGTCCTCACTTGGACCACCAAAGCAGTCCGACCCACCAAAATAATGGGGCATAGCATAGTCTTCATCTTTCTCCTTGTACCAATACAGGTCATTTTGCATGTCAAAATCATGGTAATCACGTGCTGTGCCAAATTGAGACAACCTATCTGATGAAGCTTGTGAATTAGCTCCTGTCGCCGTGCCAACTCCATAAGGATTGGTAAATTCTACACAAACCAAAAGAGGAGATTGTACTCGGCCCAATTACCAACTAAAACTTATCTTTTGGACAGCTGCCTAGGAGACATGTGATTACTAAACCCATAGTTATATTGGTACTGCGGTACAACAGATGCATGCTCTATAGATTGGTGTTTCCAACAAGCAACATAACTCAAGATGCGGATATCAAGCTATACAGCAGTGAGGGCACTTCAAGCAAATTGAGGGACTTCAAAACAATTGCATACTTAGAAACAAAAAGTAATAAGTACTGATAGTTACATCACTGAAAAAAACTGGTGGAGAATCACACTCCCTCGCAATCAATGAAAAATGGCAAGACAAACAGAGTAGTTCTAAAAGGAAGTGGATATAGTACATAATAAAGAACCCCAGAATGCCAAGGTCTAGAAAGAATTACCATTTATGGTGAAAAACAAAATGCTGGGACTAATAAAATAGCAACTGCATGACTGATTTTCAAATTGGGTATGTTCACTTTTACTTGTACATAATTGACAAAACAGTAAACAAAATCTTCCATCTTGACAGAGAGAGAGAGACTACAGAGCACTAAAAAATCATCATAAAAAAGTCAAGAGGAAAAGTCATGCGTACCAACCCAAAATTGGGATTTCCATTCATCAAAGAAGTGGCTCAAATCTGGAACCAATTTGTTATGGGATATATTGATGCATCAATAATTAAGCATATTCACGCAGTGGTACCTGAAGAACACAATTCAGTAGTAGAAGAACCCAAGCTCACGAACTCATCATCAGAAGAACCCGAGTTCGAGTCAACCGGACGCAAACCCAATTCCTCCTCCGATTGCCGCCGAATCGACGGAATCTTCAGCGGCGGAGGTGGCGGGACCATCGGAAACAAAAAGCGCTCGAAATCAGCAGAACCCAGTTTAGATTTCTCAAGAATATCCTCCATGAGAGCCGATTCAGACTCAGAGAGTCCATTCTTTCTCAAGAATTTTATCACTGCTTCGATGTCGGAGACCGCCATGTGGGAGAGTATTCAAAAAAAGAACAGCAACAACAATACTGAGAGGTGGTGCAAGTGGAGAGGTGAATTCATGGGATTGGAGTGAAGAAGTGAAAAGGTCAAAAGTGGAAATTAACTGGAAACTTATGTTTTGCATGTTTACATGTAGAGACTACTCTAGAGAGAGAGAGAGAGACTGTTAAACTGTTGAAGGTAAGGGAAAAGAGAGAGAGATCTCACCCACTTTGAAAACTGTTGAAGGGACTTTCTGGTCTGTGGGCCCCAGAGAGTTTTACTGTGGAAGAAGATTGACACGTGGAAGTAATCAATGCTGACACGTGGATTTCGATTTGATTTAGAATTCTTTTTTCTNGAAGGGACTTTCTGGTCTGTGGGCCCCAGAGAGTTTTACTGTGGAAGAAGATTGACGCGTGGAAGTAATCAATGCTGACACGTGGATTTCGATTTGATTTAGAATTCTTTTTTCTTCATCCTTTTGGGTTGGGGCCGTTGGGTAGTCAAGTAGTCGTTGACACGTCCGGGGGACCATTTGTCCGTTAGGGTTTTTTATTTTCACTTTTGTTTTTGAGAAATGACACTTCACACCCCTCATAAATTTTAAAATATTCATTTTACCCTTTTAATGTTTAAAATTATGACATTATGTTTCAAATTTCTCATCATGATAAGAATAATGTTCTAATTGGCCAATTGACATCACAATTGCTACAATTTCACAAGAAAAAAAATAAAAATTTATAAAATCATGTAGTTGGCAAAATGAGATTTTTTTTTTAATTCAACAGTCAGGAGTATTCGAGTCAGGTTACATACACCTCGACTAATTTTTTCACCTGTCTGGTCAAAGGAAGATTATCCACGTCGAGACTAAATTATTTATGAAGGATAAATACCTTCTAGCTCGACTTTAAAAAATTGTCAAAATTTAAAATCAAAATATTTAAATTTACAATTCATATATGTTACCATTTGAATTACCATTAGGTTCGGTCAAAATGAGATTATGACCACTTTTCAAATGAAAAATAAAAAAATCATCTAGTTGTTGATAAATTCGAATTGTAGTTTGTGATTTTTGACTTTTAAAAATATAAATTCCAAATTTTTAAAATTTTAAAATACAAAATGTCTTTAACCCTTATTTTTTGAGGAATTTTGTCGGTGAAAAGTTGTGGGTGGGTTATATCATGGCACTGTTAAGAACTTTAGGTTATAATTTCTGACTGATTTCAGAAAAAAAATCATGATATCATGGTGGGATGTTTCAACTACCAATAATCATATAAAAATCTTGATATATATATATATATATCTTTATTAGTTCCTTATACTTGTAGATAAAAGCAAGTTATTTGATTCAAAACATAATACTTCACATACACTGCACAAGCATTGTATTGAGGATCAAGCATACTATTTTTTTTTTGCTCAAACACTACTAAATCCCGGAAAAAAGACGACGAAATTTAAATGTGCAATATTAAAGTTCAATAACGAGGGATGATATCTATTATGCCAACCGTTTATCTCAAACATACTATTAATACACACCTAGTCTCTCTCTCTCTCTATTAAGGAATAATTGTCACAACTAGCCGTTCATTGGGTTGTGGTACTGACTAACTCTATTTATGTACAAAATCATATCCAAGCCACATCAATTCATAAACTATGACCCCAAATAATAAAATATTAAAATCATAAAAATACAAGAAAATATACGTATACAAATATGAGTTTGGATTAGATTGATTAAGGGACACAATAATCATTTATATACAAATATATTATCATAATAGTGATATATTCGTGCGCATACAAAACATAGATATGAACAGGATTGAATGTCGAATCTCATCTTTATAAAGAGGGATTTGAATTTAGACAAATTAATCCAAACTTTTCCCAATAAAAACCAACCAAACAGGCCCTTAGGGGCTGTTTGATAAGGGGTTTTTGTTTTTTTTTGGTTGGGTGG